TTTCAACTGTACCATTAGCAAAAATTAACATTCAATATTAAACACTCTCAAGCACAACAGTGTCCAGTGTCCTGCCTTGAGATGTCCTGACTCCCAGAGGTTAGAACTTCACCTGCCTGGAGGAAGACAGTGTGCTACTGATGTCAGAGAGCCAGCCCACATAACGTCTGGCAGAAGTAACACTCACAGCCTATTAAATGAGCATAAAAATCTACTTTTTTACTCTACTCTAATAACATTTTTCCACAAAAGGTAAAGTTTCTGAAATGAACATTAAAGCAAATAAACACCAAAAGAATTAGGAAGACTAAAACAAGCAAGCCACAAAAGGAATTTTCAGCTTTTGAAAGACAACATTTTCTTATACTAAGAAGTCAAGAAAAACAAAATCTGAACTGTGCTCCTTCTGCCCTGACTTGATTTGTCTCTCCCATAGGAATAGTGGGACAAAATAAAGCTTTTTTTTTTGCCTGGGTATTTTACTGTGACTTTATTCCATTCAAGAAGTAAAATGCTGCATGCTTTGCATTATCAAAGCAGGCCTGGGGACATTTTAAAGGTGAAATATTTTTCAACTTCCTTTATCATTATTTCTTTGTATTATTTGATAAATAAAGTTAATACTACCAGCCTATGAAGCTGGAAGTCATCTGAGGGATAAAGCAAACAATACACAGTTATTCATGAAACTCAAAATTTCTTGGAAGACAGCCTGGTTTGTCATAATGCATATCCAGGACACAACTGTGCAAGTAATGGGCAAAGTTACCCAAAGTAACACTTGCTAAGCATTAGCTGGCATTTCATTTTGCCATTTTGCCATACAACCATCAGAGGAGGAAAAAAAAATGAACCCACTGCAAACGCCTTCTGTTTTAATTCCAAATGTTTGGCTTGGCCCTAGTGCCAAGGACATTACAGCTGAAGCATTTATTTTTTAATGTAGCACTCATTGTCTGTAATCAGGCCTGTAATACAGGTATTACATGCAGCCTGACAATCTCTAGCAGAGAGAAGGGTCAGGGTCCACAGTCAGTACACAAAAACCATCACTGTAAATCTGTAAATTAATTTATACTGAGATGAGATGGTGCTTGGAATTCCCCTGGTGATGACTACCAATCTCTGCTGAAGAAGTCCCCCAAACACAGACATATTCTTCCTTGCAATCACAGATGATGGTGACCAATACTGCACATAGTATAGAACAATCCTCTTAGAGAAGGAAACATTTTATTACATACTTAGTTGCCTGTGTGGCATTTTTCTCTCAGTTTATATTCCTTCAAACTTCCTTTTACCCCTTTAGTTAGAATCTGACTCTAACATTGGGATGACAACCAGCAGAAATTAGAGGTAAGAGGGTTGCAGAGATTCAAAGACTAGAGAAGAACTATTTCTTATTATTTCAGTGGAATCAGTTTGAAAAAAACCAGTTGAGCTGGAATGTAAGTAATCCTGAGCTGAAGTTAATCTATATTTGTTGCAGAAAGAATCTATCCATCTATGGACAAAATATGTATACAAATTCTCTTAATAGCTTGAAAACAGTTAAGAAATTAATTCTTAGTATTCATTTACTACATGCAAGCTTATGATAACAACAGTGAGCTCATAATTATAAAGCAGTCACTCATGTCTTATTCCTCCTGCCCTGCCTTTTCATTCATAACCTATACAGCAAATATTCTAACCACAGACTGTATTTCTCATAGAATCTGTCATCTGTAGTTCAGTGAATCACATCAAAATCTTATATACATCCTACCAGTCTTTGCATTTACTGCATTTAAACTGGTAATGAACACTGAGTATCAACAGTCATCAAAATGTGATTTTGAGTATGGACAGGAATAATTACAGGCTAGCCCTGTATAGTGACATTTAACTCAAAGGTCCTTAAGACAGGAACTTGTGAAACAACTTCCTTAACCGGAATAAGATTCATTGCTCAAACCAGTGCAATGAACATGACTGATACCTCTGAGTATCAATCTTTATTAAACAAGCACAAAGGGAATAGTTCTCATTTATAACAGTACCAGCTGTTAAAAGCAAGTGGGCCAAACAGTGCCTCCAGCTGTTTCCCTCTGGCTGTACTATTTGGGTAATTGCAGACTTACCCTCTGTGATCCAGATGCTGAGCCTTTAAATGAAGTGCGTTTGAAGGAGCCACTCATCCTCCGTAAGGAACCTGTGAACTTTCCTTTCTTAATCCCCTCCATAATGCAACTAGTACCCCAGCATCAAAGAAAACCCTGATTTCAGTCACGTAGTCTGAGCAGATTTTTTCCTGAAGCCAACAATCACTAAGTTACAGCTTAAATAAAAAACCAAATGCATAGAACAAAATCAAAGCCAAATGATGAGACTCCTGTTCCGATATGGACCCTGTCACAAGTGTTACCAGCAGCCAGCCAAGCAGAAAAAAAGGCAATCCACTGATAGCAACTGCTGGCCCCCTCCTTCTTCTCTACTGACTCTATAATCAGGCTTAATGCACACAGCTTCTGCAAGCTATGGTTTTTAATGGACAGAGATTTAATAAATGGTGATTGAAGGTAAATCTACTTTAGAAGCAGCAGCCCAAAAGGTTTTTATTTGTGCAAAGCACAGGGCAGTCAGATGGAAATTGTTTTGGTATCAGTAGAAAGGCACATGAAAAGAACAGATGGTCCTCAGCAGACCATGGGTTAGAGGCCTGGTAGAACCCTAAAGGATAACTGCTGATGGCAAGTGTGCCCACACAGGGCCTCAGGATGAGAGTGACAGGGTTTTAAAAGCAAACAACCCATAAGATCACCAGTTAGATTCTAACTAATTAGGGAATGAGGGTAGATAAGGTGTGGTGTGTATTATGCTCATGAATTCTCACTAATATCTCACTGCATCTGCTCTGTACTATTCTGCCTAAAATGTGAAGAGTGAGAACAAAAGGAGGTAGTTAGGAGAGGTCAAACAAGAAATGAGGAAGAGACAAGGTACTTTAAAAGAACAACGATGAAATTGTTGATTAGGAAATATCTAGTTGACTCCAGAAGACATCAGCCAGAAATTTCTTACAGAGTCTGGTTTAGAAAATGGATGAGAGTGTTGAGAAAAGAGAAATTCACAGGGGCAGCAGATTTGTAACTGAACTTAGAGGATTTGGTTAAAGAAACATACTTTTCTCTTTATTATATTTTTTTAGGTTCATCCTTCTGTGCCTCTGTAAAGTTGGCATAGGTGTCTCCTTGCAGCTGGTTAGAGGAGGCACAAAAAACTGCTGGAAAGCTAAAACAAAACAACATGGAAGAGACTGATACACAGAGATGCACCAAGTTTGTTGGTTAGCAAGGAATAAAAATAGGAACATACTCTTCAGAAATCAGAAATTTAGAAAACCATTTTTCAAAACACAGTGCAGAGTAGAAGTAAGGAATTAACTCAATTAACTCAGCCCCTTTGGATCTGTGACTCTAAGAGGTCTAAACACCTTGTAACTGCTCTTGGTGCATTTTAAGGACCATTCTGGATTTTTACAAGTCATCAATACCAAAGGGACATTTGCATACAAGAGCCAGATGACAGCAGTCAGTGCAACAGAGGCTGCTGACTACTAACCCCAGCTGAAAAATCAGGCAACTAAGCTGATGTTCTTGTCCCCACTGTGTTTATGTAACATTTCATGGACCATTTCCACTAGATTAGGGAACAGAGACAAGCACCATGCTGGCACTTTCAACAGCTCTGTGACTGAGAAGCACAAGTTTAATAGATTTTCCAGAAGAGCTTGTGCTTTTAGGAGTGTAGTCTCACATTAGGAAACCCTTTAAACAAATGTTATTATGAAGGTTCCTGTCTCATGTTGGAGTTTGCTGCTTCATTAGCTGAGCTGATTCAATGGTTTGTGTGGCCTAGATCAGATCTGTGTAACCACGTGGTCTAAATCAGCACAGAGGGAGGAAAGCACAGTAATCTCTTGCCACGGGATACTGTTGGACAACAAATGAATATTTGGCACAGCATGGAAGTGAAAGAGTTTTAAACTGGTTCATGACATGAAACGACACACCTGTCCACCATCCTCCAGGTTTTGTAATGAAATCAAATTGGTCACCCTCTGATTATGAAAAAAGCAAGAGCATACACCCCATAAAAGAGCAAGCAGAGTGCAGACAACACTCTATTTGCAAGGTCTTTGACAGCCTGCTCTCTGGGAAAAGCAGGATGCACCCATTTCAAAGTGCACAGAAATAACACACTAAGACATAATAAGCAGTTGTACATCTTATTGACACCACTCCACAGGAATTTAACATCTGCAATCATGAACACATCCATGTCCCAAAGATCCTACCACAATGTATTTTTAAAAAGTGAATAGTTTGGTTAGAGACAACTGTAGTTGTTTCAGCCCATAGGAAAAAAACCAACAAAAACATTGCTCTTGCTGTTCATAGAGCTGTATTCTATGACATCACATCAGAGATGTTTGATGCCGGTTTAAAACAAAAAGCAATAGATTTAAAGCTTTGATCTGTAGTCTATCATGTCAGCTAAAATGTTTCCATTCACCCTAGTAGTCAAACTAAATATGGAAAGCAACAATCCATAATCCAATGAACTTTATTTACACTGACAGGAAGGGGTAAGATAGGCTTAGACCTCTGTAAAGACCTACATGTACAAGACATGTAGAATTAGGCTTTCCTTCACTTTGCATTTAATATGAGTAGCAAACTAAACACCAGTTTCTTTCATAGGCAATGTATTATAAAAAAAAACAAACCTTAAAGCACTTTTTTAAAATGGGATGTCTTAAAATAACATTTTCTGTAAAAAAAGCATGCTGCTTTGATGTCCTTTGACATTTGTGATACAATATAAAAATTTCAAGAGTCATGTGCTTAACTGAAAACCAGCCTAGGGTCCATTATACACTTAACTGTTCTTGACTCTTTATTTTGCCTCCCTGAAGCAAAGCACAGACAGAATATTGCTCAGTGCTGGTTACCTACCATGAGAATTAGCACTCTGGAGGTCACTGGGGACTGCTGGGTGAAGAGTTGACTTCTTCTGTAAACTACATATCCTCAAAGCACTGCTGCAGCAACCTAGGTAAGAGCACAATTGGATTAAAAACATAACACTTTACACAACAACTCTGCAAGTGAATGGCACCTAGAGGGAAGAAGTTCCATGTAGTCAACTCTACACCTGAACTCAGAGGAAGACTGTGGGCCACTGTGGTACCTTTACTTCAGCATTGTCTGTTTCTCCATTCTAAAAGCCTCTCTTATTTAGCAACTGTCTTCCCCCTTGGGAGCAGTCTGACAAATCAGGCCCTTGTCTCATCCTAGGACTCTGCAAATGGATAGGTCTTCCAAGCTAAGAAAAGAAAATTGATTTTCTGACTTGTGGTTCTTTGAAATTTGGAGGAGGTAAAACCTGAATTCTAAAAAATAGGACTATGAATGTAATAATAATAATAATAATAAATTGTATGGAGACTGAACTTCATAACTGTGTTAGGTACACTAAAACAGAAGAAGTGAATTGTTACTCTGGATACCAAGCTAAGCTTGTAAAACATTTCTATGATTTCACTTCTACTTTCAAGATAATGACAACAAATTAATTACAATGATGTCTAGTCTCACCATAATCAGAAGTGACTTTCATTTTAGATACATAGAAAACCGTAATTCTTTCCAGTCCTCATAGTCATAGTCATAAAATAAATTAGATGACAGAAAGGATTACACTGCACTTTATGTGATTATTTTACAAACAAGCTTTGCTGAATCTTTTTTCATTTTCTGTGCATCATCAGCCCTGAAAAAGGACTTCTCACTGGTCCCAGATTTGTCTATGTGACAAGGCACCTCCTTGTCCTAAAGTAAAACACCTGTTAGCCTACACTGACAAATGATACAAAGTATCAACAGATTATTCACACTGCATGACCATTATGATCACTTTGTCTGAATCATCAGGTTAAGATTTTTTCTTCATTTTTCCTGTATTTTCATTATTTTCCAAGCACTCTGTTTCTATTCAAATAATTAGATGTTGTAAATAAAATGCCTTTAAATGTTTTCTGTTAAATGTTTTTTCCTATGTCTAAAACAGTCTGAAACTGTCATACATCCATAGAGTTACTTTTCCTCTGTAATAAAAACAGAATGCTAACTCTGTTACTGGAACCACAAACTGGAGCTAGAGGGGAGCACCAAGAGTTTGTTGGGCTGGGCAGACTGGAAAGATGCTGGGGGCTCCTGGGTGTGAGCAGGATCTAAACCTAGACCCAAAATGCAAAGCAGACTGATTTCAGAGGTAGAACCATTGTCATTGATGGTGGCCCCCCACTGAATATGGGATTCAGGCCAGGTGACTTTAACACATACTGCATAAACACAGGCAGAAATCAGCTTCAGCCTCACAATGCTAAAAGCAAGTGGGGTTTTGACACAGATTTCAATGAGAGCAGGATCTCAGAAGAATTACACAAACTTTTGCTTTCACTTCATTTGAGTAAAATCATGGTTTCAGTATTCAATACACCACTTGTGTCAATGCATTACCATATCTCAAACTAAGTTAAATAAATCCATTTCCATATCTATGAGCAACTAAAGGCTGCAAGAAAGATTGTTTCTTACCTAGCTAGTAACAGAGGACTTGAAAGGGTAGTGAGGATAAAGAGAGAACTGAAAAATTAGATCATAAGTAAAATGAGTAATTTAATGACAAGTAGGCATGGAAGCCTTGAACTCCCCCACTGGATACCAATCCACAAAACTCCACTGATCTGAGAACTAAAAGAATGAAGCTGTAGCTCTGGAAGTTGTTTATTTCTGCTCCCCACCACAAGCCAGTATCTGCAACTGGTGACAAAAAACCTGCTTCCTGCTTGAGTAACCAAGGAATGTCTGAAGAGCAGATGTGCTGGAAACTCTGCTAATATTCAACATACTAAATGAAGAAACAAGGCTTCCTACTGTGCTTCATCATTCCTGAGGCAGAAGAAGCAATTGGTTCTTACTAGGAAATAACTTAATTGTTATCAATTCTGAAAACTGAGAAGGACAGACTTCCCTGAGATGCTTTGGCAATGTGTCAGTTCTCTAATTCATAGCATTGGGTTCGGCTGCAAAGTTCCAAGCACAGAATGCCCAGTCCTGCATCCAGCGGGTGGGATTCCCGGGAAGTGCTCCCACTCCCCAAACCCGGCCCTGCCCACTCACCGCCTTTCGGGTGCCACCAGCGCCACCTGGTGCTGCTCTGCAGCGCGTCATTCCTTGGGAAAGCACAGGATTTTCTCATGGAGGAAAGTCCATCCTTTCTCCAGAAATACTACCGTGGCTAATATTTAATACACTGGCATGTGGAAAAGGTTAAATATGTTCATCGTTACGCACTATTAATTTTTCAGAATAGGTTTAAAAACCTTTCTGTACGAAAAAAGGAATTTAATTGATCATTAACCTTTCCCGAACCCTGATGTACTCATATTGTACACCATGATGTTGGCTCTGATTATGAAAAAAACTTTTCAAATTAAAAAAAAAGGTTAATAAAATATACAAAATAAATTTGGAACAGTTAGCAGTAATGGTACCTGAAACCTATAGAAGACCTAGAAATGTGCATATGAATACATTTTGGTGTCAGAAGAACAAGACAGTATGAAGGATGAGTTAGCTGCAAGATAACTATAAAGAGAAGATGTAGAACACGTTTCAATGAAAAGTAAGGGACTGAAAATCAGATATTCTCTTCCTGCCCCTAATTTTCTATGGGACCACATGCAAGTAACCCCATAACTTGAGTATCTTCCTTTCCTCTACCTGAATAAAAGAAGCAATCATATAAACCTATGCAAAGGCACTAAATTCCATTATATTTGTAAAATCAGTTGGAGTTCTTTGACAGATACAAGTATGATTATACTTGTACACTTGCAAAGTGCTTGAGCAAAACATCCCTATATTTTTGAAGAACGTTCTCAGCTCTACTGACAAGCCCACAGTTCTTTATGGTAATGGGTTCAAAGTTTTGCAAGATGTTTTAAGTGCTTTCCTAACATTAACAAAACTTTTTACAGAAGAGAAGAGAAAGGGAAACATCAACTGAAATCCAAAGGATGTCAATTTAAAAGGGATGGCTACAAAATTCTAACATCTCATTTCACAGTTCATCACCAAAAGAAAGAAAAGGGAGGAAAAATACAAATATGATCCCCCCTCTCTGCATTATAACTCTTATGACTTAGAGGTTTCTTTATTTCAGTTAAATTTACCCATGACAGATGATGCACTCCAGAAACAACTCTAGCACAGCTCAGCAAGCAGTGAATCAGCATGTTCTAGGTGGCCTTGTCTGACAGAGCTTAGCACCTGCCAGTGCATTGCTGGTCCCTGTTTATTGTCATTGCATAACTCAGCGAGTCCTGTGACATTCCAGTGACTTCTGCCATTATGCTGGATGTTTTCTGCCTGTAGAATTTTACCTTCTGTTGACTGCTATTTGTTAAGAAAGGTGCATTAAAGCAGTGAAACTTAAATTAGAGAAGATTTGAAAACATCAATTAGGAGAAAAATCCATTGTTCCCATCTGCCTATCAGGCACTAGATGAAAAAGCAACTGTGCTTTTTGCCACCAATTTCTGTAGAAGAAGGTGCAACCCCTTATAGTTTTCACTGATTTTGTTGGGACTGCCAACAGGAGCTGGTGCTGCGGTGTTTGTGCCAGAGAAAGACACCACATACTCTCACTCACAGGCTGTCAGGAGCACCTCACCCCTCTTATCTGTTGATCATGACATCAGCTGCAGTTCATGCTCAGTGGTGAGATGTGCCAAATTAATCACTGGAAACAAACAGCTTCTGGGCAGCTACAGATCAATCCCCTGCCAGCAACACTCAGACCTGAGAGCCACCAGCCTACTGTGCTGAGAGGCAAAGAGAAGTTACCTGTGACAGAGCCATCAGCAAGATGTTGGTCCAGGGGTAATTTTAGAATTCCCACCTTTACCAGCTCCACCAGTGGCAGGCTCTCCATTTCTGCTAGGAACATTTATCACTGCAATACCTCCCAGATGACCAACCCCTGCCACATAGACCTTCAGAAATCTGAAAAATGATGGTGGATTTCCTTTGCTATGACTTAAATTTCAAAAAGTAATGCTGATGAGAGGATACACCATGAGACAAGGACCTCCCTTTTCTCCCTTTACAATCTCCTAACCTTTTCAAAGTTGGGATCACATGAGTCAGCTCTCTCTCTCCCTCTCTCCTGACGACAAAGTCTCCAAGATACCAATAAAGACAAAAATTGCTCCAAAACACAAATGCTGTAATCAAATGAGCAAAGCAAGACAATCAAACACTACAATCCCAGCTGACCTTGCAGTAATAGGATCACACCAAGATTAGTCTATGTCATAGATTAAGCCCACCGAAGTAAACTAATCTTTTTGCAGTCAGCTAAGACTATATGTTTACTCACTAAGCTGGGAAATACTCAGGAGTGTAAAATGTGTATCAGCTGGAACAGACAATCTAGACTGCAGCTACACGTATGCTTAGCACAATTCTTGCCGCAATACTGACTTTAAGATGCCTTCAGAAAGGAAAAACACTTTAAACATGTTTTTAAACTATATTGTTTGACTTATGAAACTCTTGGACTCTACCACTTCACATTTTGACAACCAACTTTTTGTCTGAGCAAAGCAACACAAAGAGTTTCCAGAAGAGACATCCTGCACACCACCAAAAAGAAGCCTTGCAGGCAGTGGGATGGCTTTCCTTTGGCTGGCAGAGCAATATTCCATTCTGGCTGCAAACAACAGGAAGCTCTGTGCTGTGGCAGCTGTGAGAAGGAGCAGCATCACCACTGTGCTTCCCTTCCCACGAGCACAGCGGCAGTGACTGCTTAACTGCACTGTCCCAGGCACTCCACTGCCCTGCCCCAAATCAACTCCTGAGCACTGTGACCACACCTCACTGCACCACAAATGTTTGGGGTTTGCTTCCTGCAGCACCACTGAACCACAACTTGTCCAACCAGTGGCATTTGTCCATATGTGCCCAGAGACTGAGGTAGAACT